TTTATATATTATATTATTAAATATATATATATATACAGAATTTATTATATAGGAAAAAGCATAATCATACTTCTAAAGTTGCTTGTGCTTGTTGAAGTAATTGCCTTTGTGCCAAAGTGTAATCTCTAAGCATAGTTAATAATCTTCTTCTGTCTTCCATTTCTGCCTGTAATCGCCCATTATAATCTGCTAACAATGCAGCAGCTTCATTTACCGCAACACTTAATTGATCTGCAGCTGTTCTGTCAGCTAAATTTGCAAGAAGTGAAACTTCAGAAACTTCAGGTGGCAAAGATGCAATACGTTCTCTAACACCAGCATCTGAAGATGCTGTGTTTTCCAAATCCTGAAATAAAGAAGGCTTTCTTTAGTAATTGCCTTCAATGTTTTAGAGAGATATGTATATACATACTTAAAGTATTTGACTTATATCTTTTACATGACCTGTGTATAAAACGTTCATTTAAGAGGGTAGAATACACTTTCTTTTATAATTGTAGCAGTTTAATTAAATAAAGATACTCATTACTTCTAAATAAAATAAAAAAATTATTTAATATGTAAATTTTAAATAAAAATAATATTACTATCTTGTTATTTAAATAAGAAATAGTAAATAAAAAATAAAAAAAAAGCAAAAGGTTGAAATAGATAAGAATAAAATAAATGGTAATGAATAGAATAAAATTACTATTGGGGGTGGAAATATCAAACTGTAAATATGCTTGCCAGTATGCCTTATGGATTCAACATATATTTTTCTATATATAAGATAGTTTATTGCTAACGATACATAATCCGAATTTTTGTTGTTTTTATAAATGGTATTAACCATTAAGGCTTTGATGAGTTCCTCTGTTTCTGGTGGATCTCCAGCAGGAGTACGAGGACTTAACGTTACGTGTAGCTCTTTGGTTCCATCCACTTCAACCTCAGTCTCTGATTTCTTTCTCTCCTTTTTATCTTTCTGGAATATATAATGAATATCATAAAATAATTATAAATATCATACTTAATATAAAGTGAAATCAGTATTCGATGTTACCTTTACTTTTTCTATGTCATTCTTAAATTTCTTTTTTGGAGGTGGTGTTCCTGAATCCTTTGAAGTATCTGTAAAAGCAGTTTTAAACTCTGCAATTTGTGCTTTGTCATAAACACCTCTTTCTTCCCAAATTTGAAGCAGTCTATTTAACCTCTCTCTTGTCTTTTCATCAAATCCTTTCATGTGTTCAAAAGCTTTTGGTAAAACTGTTTCAAATTCTTTTCCAAATTCAGGTCCTTTTTTCTTACTATTTTGAATAACATCATTTGCCAGATACATAAACATCAGTTTACGATTATCTTTCACTGTAAACATATATTAATAATAATGACATTGAAATAATATAAATTAATGAAAAATTTATTAATTACATGAAAATTTGAAATAAACTAATTTTGATTTTATCTACTATAATTTATAACAAAATTTAATTTATAATAAGAATGTTAATTAGTAAGCTAGACAGAATGAAATAAAGTATATTTTTATGTATAAATATGAAATAACATATTTAGACATATGTTAGTTATAATATATATAATAATACCAATTTGTTAAGTGAACAAATAAAATGTGAAAACTAAGAAAGCATTTCATAAAATCCTTAAATATTTTGTGAGCATTTACATAAAAAATTAATTACAATTACAATTGTATATATTACTGAATTAGTTTTATGTTGAGAATTATAATATCATGAAAAATGCAATATATTTTGACTGTTATCGATAACTACTAACAATATATACGTAATTTTGAAGTTGACATACTGTTACGAGAAATATGTTCATAATTACGTAGTGTCTAACTTAAAAGTTAACCTTAAAATTTGGTTGAAGATTATTTTACATTTATTTTATCTGGAATACCTTTTAAAATAACTCACTAAAAAGAATGTTTGATATCCAAAGTCCTAAAAGTAAATTAAAAAGCAAAGATATACTTACGACAATCGTCACGTACCTTTACACATCTCTTTAAACCAGACTTTCACGATGGTTGGATGATGTTTTCTGTGATGAATTAACCAAAGAGAAAGTGTTTGAATGCTTTGTTGAGAGGGATTTAAGTCCATTAATCTTTTCACAAGTGCACTTTCTGTAAACCCTGTCATTTTCAAATTAGAAGACTGTTTCGTCAGCAAAAGATGTATAAAACCGTTCGTATCTCAACTCACGAGCCGCACAAGTGCACGACTCAACAGCTGAAATACAAACACGAACGGAGTATAAAATGTGGCACTCTACCGCATATTATCTCCGTCATTTCAACAACCAACGCCACCTTTTTTATATCTTCTTGACTACATCGCAATGTGTTTTCACGATCGATAATGAAAATATTATAGATAAGATTTTAGCCTTTTGCATTTTCTCGGTGTAAGTAACATTTGTTATTGTATACGTATATGAACATGTGACAGCAACTTAAACATTGTTTTATTTCATGGGAAAACAAAAATTGTAATATTTAAAAGTATATACTATCGAAGCAAATCGTATTCTAATTGTATTTTACGCTTATAAGATATATTAAAAACTTTCCAAATAATAAACCAATAAATATAGATAAAGGAGAAATAAATATTAGATAATAAATTTATTGTAACTCTTCTCTATCGGCAGCACAAGGTTTGGCAATAACTGCGCATACAGGGTACTGCATTTTGGTGAATAGAGCGCAGCAGTGATTTCCAGGGATCAGTGCGTCGTCGCAGTCCAGGGGTGAAAAGGGATTATGTATCGTTGGGTTAGTTCGTTCTTCGTACCTGCCAATTCGTATTTCGTGTTTCGTTGCGCGTGAGACTCGTGCGATCCTCGAGCGAGGCACATCGTAATGGCCGCGACCTGACTCGGGTGGTGTGCATGCGAGCTACCGTGTTCGCGTTACGTGAAGCAGACGAGCGGAAAAGGAGGTAGAGTAAGACAAATACGAACAACGAGAAGATACGACGGAGTTTAGAGTTACACGATTTCTGTGCGTATCGTGAGTGCGTGTGGGTGGGCGAGGCGTGAGCTCGCAACAAGAGTCTCGAGGACGACGAGCCATGAGCGAAGATCGAAGTGAAGAAGATCCTTTAATGGATCTTTGGTATAGCAATTGGGAACAACAGTGCGTCGAGGCATTGGAAACAGAGCCGGATTACGAAACGCAACTACACAACGAAAAGGAACTCTATTCCCAGCAGATGTGGACGAGTTTTCAAACGACGGCGTCGGCCATCGCCCAGCTGTACAAAGGCAAGTTAATTTGACGATAATACTGATCGTCATTCATACCCCCTTTTAGCTCATCCATGAGATGAGTTCCAATGTCTACGAGTAGCAAGATGTCTCGTACTTGCTGTAGTTACCATTTTGCGTGACATCCATTTTGTGCGACGTACGAGAGAATACGCCACTGTTCTCGCTTCTCGTTTTCTTCGATTCCCTTTTTTCGCCGCATGTACATATTGATCTGATCGTGTAACCAGTTCCTTTTGGCTTTGCTCTTTTACAGATCGTACGCAGGGTGTCTCTCTATGGCTACCCTTCCAGACTGCTGCAGGTACCGTCACGTCGTTGTACAAAGGTGCGTGCACTTCCTTGGTCTCTCTTGTCAACAATGTGAGCAAGATAAACCTTCATTCTATCTCTCTTTTTCTCTTCCCCTCTCTTTCTCTTTACAATTTTATCCTTTCTCCGTCATATTTCTTCTCTTCTTTATCCATACCTCTACTATTCGGTCATCCTTTTGTGCAGCCGTCACTCACTCACTGGCTCACGCACACTAATAATGTGTTTGCATGTACATGTGCGTCAGAACGCTTTGCACAGCTGACCAATGCTGAAGGTCAGCTGTTAATTGACGCAAACTTACAGGACTATTATAAACATTTATAGAAAATAGAAATAACTTTGTATCAATTTCAGAAAATTAGGTTATGTTTGTACATAATTATGACTCTTACAGTAAATTAATGTCAACATTTATCAATGATTGTAGGTGTTAATGTCCTGATTATGATACTTATTTTAGAAGTGATTATAGATATTTTTATATTATTACTCATTTTATTATTGTCTTCTTAAAGTATTATTAGAATTTTTAAATAATTTTTTTTAACATGTTATTGATTACTTTTATAACTATTAAGTTTAAGTTTATATCTGCATTACAGAAAATTCTATTCGTATTTAACCTATTCATTATTTGTATTTATTTGTTGTTTATAGCTAATAATATAGATTTATAATTATTTCATATATTTATAAGTTCATTTAGTCATAAATATTTCTTAGTGATTACATAGAAATAATTCTTTTACATTATTCATTTAATCATAAATATTTTTTAGCGATTACATAGAAATAATTCTTTTACATTATTTTATTTCATTTATTTATTATATCATTAAATATTATATATGTTACTTGTTTGAGATATTTCTAGATATTTGCATATATTATTTATGCTATTATTATATCATAAGTATCATAATTTGGCTTATAAGTGTCTCACATTTTAATAGATTCAATGGACAGTATGCGTCGATGCAGTGAATTGGGTGTAGAAATGGGTCGACAAAAGCGTAGTAAAGAAATAATGAATTGGGCTAGGAAGAAAAGACGTATGATTCGTAGAGAAGACCTATTAGCATATCTTGCTGGAAAACCACCTCCACCTCGACCACATTCGCACAGGTAAATGTTATATCAGTTTTTTTAAAATACTAACAAATGTGTTTTCTATAGCTTTTGTACAAAATACTTCCAGAAGCCGAGTAAACCATTAAAGTCATGTTGTATTGCATTATGAAAAAATATCTTAAATGTTTTACTTCATAGGCATTAATGCAACAATAATTTTTATAAGGTTAGTCTTATTAATGAAAGTAATACAAATATAAAACAAGTGTTAATAAATTTGCAGAAGTTCACCTAAGCCGAGAATGATGGTGTGTAGTTCGCCTCCATCAGAAAGTTCAACACCAAATATGGTTGTTGCGCCAACACCAATACCTGGTAATGAACCTGATCCTGAATTACACACGTTTAGGGAAGCAATTGCATTATCTGGTAAGAATTATTCTATTATAGTGGATATGATTAGAAAAATTAGGTCCATTATACGCTATTTAAAGTCATTAAATAATGCATGTTATAATATATATTTATAATGTTTATAATGCATATTATGCATGATGAAAATATATTATATAATATATGTAGATGCTAAAATTTTGTATATTATAATTAATATAATTATAATAGTAAAGTACATGTTTAAATAATTAGACCTTTTTCAATAATTATGAATAGGTTCACCTATATCTCGGCGTTCTGGGAGACAAGCCGAATTGTCGGCCTTTATTAGTAGCGAATTCGCTCGACATCATAAACGGCCTGCTTCGCATGACGTGGATATGGGATCTCCCACGCACAAACGGTCGCGTTTCATGTAACGGCGCGCGATGTGTAAAGTAGCCTCACTCCCTTGTTCCCCATTAATTAATCAATTGGTAAATTAATTATTAACGGTTCAACTCCCCTACATAGTTCTCGATTGAACATAATCACTTCAAGAAGATGGTAATGGCTTACATTGCCATATAAAACACGTTCGTATATTTCGAATAACCGCTATTATGTATCAAGTTTCATTATTATTATTTATTAAGCTTTACAGTCTTGGTCTTGATATCGACAGTTAGTGTAATTAATTTAATTACGTGAAGTAATTATGTTATTGAAATTACTGTGTCATTATTTGGGAAAATTTTGGTCCAGTAATGCTTAAAGTTATATAAAAATTATTATTATTATACGTACTAGAATTTATATTGGAATTATTTATTTATTTATATAAGCTATGAGATAATACAAACGTGTTTCAAAATACCACTCAAAGTGCCCATACAGAGTGAATGTAATTGTTTCATGTGCAGAAAATCTATATATGTGATTATTAGTTTATCAATCTATAAACCAAGAGTATGAACCTTGCCAAATGTACTATGAGATGTTAAAAGCTGCAAATAACATGCTTTACACATAACTGATGTGTATGTTGAAATTAGCAGCTAATATTTCGTGATATTTGACAGTCACTTCATAGTGTACTGTAATTTCTTCAAGTGGGATGTTTGACAGGTAATGAATTGGTGATTTAATATTTTATAACTATATTAATGTCCACGGTTGTAATTTTACGAGAAGAATGGGAACGGGGAGAGGATGATTATAGAATGTTCTTTCACAATCCAAAGGATCGCTTAGCCCTCTGATTATAATATTGTTATGATTATTAAATGATCATAGATAATGCATATTTGGACGCTTTTATTAATAAAAAGATCATTTTATACAGATTTTGTTGATAATGAAAGGGAAACGAGTGATGAGAAAAGGAATAAGAACATAAATCATGAAAAAAATGTATCAATAAATTAATTTCTGTAATTTCTATTCACAACTTATGAACAAGGGATCTATATTTTTTGTTGTATAACTTCTATATGTAGAGTAACTATAAGATTATTTTTTGGATAATATATTTAATTGTTTCTGCAATCTTTTGTCTGTAATTTTGCATCTACTTTACATGTTCTGTGTGCGATCCCTTGGAAGCAATCGAAAAGTGTTCGCTGCTATATTTTTCGCGTCATGACATCCACGCCAAAGTTTTTAATAATGCGAGATCGAGCTTGGAAGCAAGGTTCAAGAAAGACGTTAAAAAACAATGTTCACGTCTTATTCTTTCCATATTTGTCGCGGGTGCTCATTATTATGTAACTAATTGATAAAATTTTCAAATAGACTTTGTGTAGTTATAAATCTTAAACAAGTTAAAGTAAGCAATGCTTATATCAAACAGGATTGACGGATAAAATTAATGGATCGATGGGAAGAATCTACGCGTAGTTTCTTCCAATCTCTATATATCCGATGTCAATTGGATGTCAGTGATGAATGATCACCCTAATATAAAGTTGATTTTTATTTTTGGCGTATATGTTACAAGCAAAGGGTTGAGCAGTGCAGTGGAGATGTGTCTCAGGCAAAGTCTGTATGAAGACAGTGCAATGTAAAGGGATCTACTTTTCCACAATTCCTAATATGGACTTAATCAATAAATGAGCTTTCCGTCTTAGATGTAGCCATTGTCGGGGAGACACGGGCAGCTCTTTGCTGTATAAACATATACACGTATGCATACGTTGTGTATATGTGTATTTGTACGTATACGTACATATCTTATAAGAAGCATTATGTTCAAAGACTTGTACTGGAGTGTTTTATCGCTCCGTTTTTAAGGTCATTGTAAATGTATATTCTTTCTAGTGTTGTGCCTCGTAATTGCTTCTATTTGAATTTTGAAGACCATCAATTATAAGGAAATTCGAAAATGTATTATTCAATTGAACTGCCGGTAAATTTATTTAATAATAAGACCCAACTTTCCTATTTACATTTCGAATTTCCTTTTACTCGTTCTTCAAAAGTCATTTAGAAGTAAAATCGTTTCTGTTTGTTTCCTTCTCCTCGACATTGTTTGAGCACCGTTCCGGAAACAAGCGAAAATTGTTATTCAGTTGTAAATATAGCGTACGTTCATAATGATAACGATAAACAATAGCCTTAGGGGTATTGCTAACATTATCATTATTAATATTGACAACTATGCGATAGCTTTAATAATATTTATCATATGATCGGCAGTTAATAAAACTCCAAGGACTCCACTTGACTCCACTTTCCTGACCAGTTAGGTACGCAGGGTCACGTTTCTGAAAGTTCTGAAAGTTCCATTCAAATGAAATGTATAATACAATATTGGGGAGTATCTTTGTGCGTAAAAAATTTAGTTGTACTATTTGTTTCTGTTTTTAAAGTGGAGACAAATAATTTTTCTTTTATTAAGATAATGTTTTATTGATCTGATCGATTTCCTGGTAGATTTTTCGTACAAAGATAACTCTGATTAAACATTTACGTAGAAGAAAGTAACACGCTGAAGATGCCATACTTAGGTATACTTTATTGATAAGAAAATAATAGTTAATGATGAAACATCGAGTCATTTTGTACAGGCACTATCATCTTTAATTTCATTTTTTTTTTTTTTTTTTTTTTTATAGCGAAGAAACATTTCCGATTTATACTCGAGAGCTCTGTTTCGATTGTGGGAAGAAAATCAATATTTGTTTATATTAGATTGATAACGTGTTACTTGTTTAACGACTTGCAAGATTTTGTCGGTATAATTGGCATTTTCCTATCTTGCATAATGCAAGACAACCATATACGTGAAACGATATTTCGAGGTCAGCAAACTATGTTTCCCACGTGTATAGGGAGCTTTCCCTTTTTCATGGGGAGTTAATCTTGTTAGTAATCCATGTTGTATTTTATACTGAAACAATATTTTTTATTTATACAGTCCATGCAACATATTGTGCACAGTTTAGAAAGAAAATAAATTGTTTTATTAAAGTTTCTTATTATTTATAATTAAAAGTGCTATAAAATAATATTTTTTGTACCTAAATATTTTGAGATTGTAAATGAATAGGAAAGGATATGAGTAGCATATCTTTTATAAGAAAATTAGATTTTACGTTATAAGTAATCTGTTTATGAATCGATGACTTCCGTCTTTCTTTAACGAAATGTGTAATTCATATTTGCTGCCAAAAGGAGTTTCCAATGAAGTTGCCATTATGCAAAACCGACTGTTGTGTATAGAAATAGAAAATGTAGCTTATAGGGCTCTGAAATTAATCGATTAATAGTAAAAATAAATTAATCCGTTTTTATATTAATAAATTGATAGTTATGTAGAATAATCGGATAAGTTAAATGAACATCAATATTTATTATTCATTAATCGATTAATCGTGCAGCCTTGGTAGGTGAGATCGCGAGGAATCACTTCTGTATCATATCTTTTTCACAGTAATAGTAGTTCGTACGCAAATCATACAGGTGCGTAGGAACGCGTACGTGTCACAAACACAGGGCACCAAGAAATTTTCTACGAGCCATTTTTTTTATTCTGATGCACATTAATCGCAACGTGATATACTTTTTTGTCAACAAATGTATCACATTCTACTTGCACGAACACAGAAAAGCCGTGATACAACATGAAAATGTGTGTTCGCGGTGAGGCGAGAAATGGTGCTGTTATTTTTTGCGGACATAAGAAGCTTGTATATTTTTGCGTCTCTTGTTTGTAAGATAATCATTTACAAATAAAATTACAAAGCAAAAATTTTATTATATCGTTGGTGTTTACCTTTTGTAATGAAATTGTTAATGTCTTTTTCATAACATAAGGATCTTTTACAAAAGGCTTTAGATATTTGTTACGATATTTACAATGGTTTTATTTTTATGCATTCAATTTGTACACTTTATATAAGATTTATGATATTTATACGACCAATAAGAAATGAATTCATTTATCCTATTGTCTAAAAAATTTAAAAATACATTCTATTAAATTGGCATTTACATTTTCATTTACATTGATTAACTTAATAATGTATATTCTATTGTTTTAAGGCACTATATATAGTAAAAAGAATTAATGTCTTATACGATGAAATGATATTTCAAAATATTCTCTATGCATTTAATCAACAAAAGTTGAATTAATCTTATAGTATTATAAATTCATGTAGTTAAAATCATTTTTTTACACGTTCAATTACGCGGAACTTTTTATCGACTATGATAAATGCAATGTATTGGTTTCTTATATGCAGCTATGTACAATTTAGTTTTGCATTAGAAATTATTTGTATACATTTTTAGTAGGCACTTAGACAGTTTTAGGCAAGATTAAAATATTTGGGAAAAGGCTAACTTGTTTTGTTTCTTCAATATTATTTTAAGTTTCACAATCTACTATCTTTAATAACATTTTCTGGAGCATCTAATGCTCTCTTTCTGTTAGCTATCGCATTCATTAATTTCCGTTTGGGACCAAGTGGAAGTTTAAGCGCAGCGATATCAGTTTCAGTTAATAACATTAAGGCTTCTAAATCAATTTGTTCTGATTCTAAAACCGGATGTACCGATGAAAGATTATTGGCAACTAAGAATCTTTGTAATGGTGTCCATTCCTCATCTGTTTCTTCCTCTATAATTATATATTACGTCTTTATGTAAAATTTAAATTTAAAATACATATTTAATGTAGATGTAACGTATTGATAAACTGAGTTCAGGAAGATTTTCTTTTACCTGAAAGTAAATCATCATCCCACATACTTTGCCGGCGAGCTAAACTACCCGCACTTCCTATGCTGATTTCTTCGTTGTGTCCATTTGAGTTAGCTCTATGACCATTTATAGATCCGTTTATAGAACCATTTACGCAAGAGTTACCGTTTTGTTCATGTGCATCCACTTGCGAGACCGGCAGGTTATCAAAAGTAGTTGTTATCTAAAGTTAGAAAACAGCAGTCTTCTATACACTGCTTTAAATAAATTTCAAATCATTATATTTGAGACATTTCAATGGTATTAATAAACTATTATTTTATTAATTATCCATTGTAATATTAATGAATCTTTTCAATAAATATATGCTGCTATTTTTTTATTATTAATTTTGGAATACAAATATATTATTGATTTGATAACTTAAATAT